CGCACGTAGCGCAAATTTGTTAGCCACGGCATACCGCCCTCGTCTGGCCCAGCGAAAAGGTCGCTGGCATTTTTTCGCGCTAATTCTTAAATTAATAAACTGCGATGCGGCACCCAAAAGTCTGCCGCATAATATTTCATTTGCTATTCCTTGTGTGCGCCGCGCTTTCGCCCTCGCTTTTGACTGATGACTCGCAAAACGCGCGTAATTAGAAATTTACTTTCAAGATCCATTGGGGAATTGCGACCGCCGCCTGACACGGCCCCCAGGCCTAACTAATCATGCCGAACGTGACTTGGGCTGCACTGCACCCACACCCCAGCGCAGCTCAGCTCAGCTCAGCTCAGCTCTGCTCGGCCCAGCTTAGCCCAGCGCTCGCCCAGATCCGGCGGCACCATCTCAGCCATCTCAGGATTCGTTTTCGTCTCCGACCGACTGCCAGAAATACTTGCAAAATAATTAATCACAAGAATGTGCGGAAAAAATGCCAGCGAGCAGGAATTTAAACAACTTTTTTAGTTACCTCCTGGGACTGCTTCACTGTTTCAGTGTTTCCATTCCCAACACCGAGATGAGATCCCAGTGCAGGTGGCCAGGTGCGCAGGCAGGACTTGGAAGCCATTTAGTATTTCATATTCAGGGATTTGGGGATTCCGCCGGCGCATCAAAGCGAACTTGCCTTTTGATGTAAATGCGCACAGGAAGGAACTGTCGCTCGCCCGAAGGCATCTTTTTTAACGCTTGCTCAATAATTAACAGGACCCATGTCCATGAAGGAGGTGGACACCCAGATGTACAACGTGCAGAGCAAGAACAGCAGCTACTTTGTCGAATGGATTCCCAACAACGTCAAGGTGGCCGTCTGTGACATCCCGCCCCGTGGCCTCAAGATGTCCGCCACCTTCATCGGCAACTCGACCGCCATCCAGGAGATCTTTAAACGCATCTCCGAGCAGTTCACCGCCATGTTCCGGCGCAAGGCCTTCCTGCACTGGTACACCGGCGAGGGCATGGACGAGATGGAGTTCACCGAGGCCGAGAGCAACATGAACGACCTGATATCCGAGTACCAGCAGTACCAGGTGAGCAGTGTTCCATATCCTTGCGCAGACCGTCGCTGCAAATGTAAAGCATCTTTAAAACGATTCCATTTCGTTTCCTTCTCCAGGAGGCTACCGCCGACGACGAAGTGGAGTTCGATGACGAGCAGGGCGAGCAGGAAGGCTACGAGTCTGAGGTCCTGCAGAACGGTAATGGCGAGTAAAGGCCTAGAAACAATCACAACTGTAGCTGTTTTCTGTATACTATTTTGTAAAATATTTGGCCCGAAAGGGCTTCAAATAAATTTTTAGTAAATGTAGTACAAAATCACGACTCCCTTGAAAGTTCGCAATTGAAATCCCGAAAGTATGTCTAAATATTTTATTTGCCTTTCCTGATTGCTGGAGTCTAAAGGGGGTAGTTGACCAGCACGTCCTGGCGCGCCAGCTCCAGCAACATGGGATCGTCGAAGAATTTGTTGATGGACACATCCTCGGAAAGTCCTTTCCTGCGGCGCGTCTTGATCATAAACTCTCGGGCCAAATGGGATGCTTGCTGCGGCTCCAGTGGCCGGATTATGATGCTCTTGTCCAGGGGATCGCCGGGCACTATCTGCCAGTGATGGAACACCGAAAGACAGAAGGCCTGGCCCTGGGTGTGCGTGCGGAGATCCGTCTCGAATCCAAATGAATCAATGGCGGGTATGAAGGCTTTGATCGTATAGATGGGAGAACCCGAAACGGGAGCATCCTGCGTTACATGGCCTCTGTAAAAAAGATTATATAATTCAGAGGCGCAATTTTAAGGAAACTCAAGCAATAGAACTCACCTGCGCCTAGCCAACACAGTATAAACAGCGGATACACAATCTGCCGGCGCCTGAACTTCCACAAACAGATACGGTTCCATCAGACGAGGGGTGGCCATCAAAAACGCCGAGTACGCAACTCGACGGGCTGTTGGAATGATTTGTCCACCACCTCGATGCAACGCCTCGTTGGCGATAACACCATCGAGAATCTTAAACTTGACATTACGGATTGGCTCCTCGCAAAGCGGCCCTTCTCGCGTGCCCCATTGGAAGCCCTGCACAATCGAATCCTTAACCGCGGTCAGCAGGTTCTTGTCCACTTCCGAGGGCAGAGTGTCGTCGACGAGGATATTTGGACCCGTGGAGTCAGGACCAAAGGCCCAAATCGAACGCGCCGCAAGCAGATCCCAATCGTAATTGACCTGGAAGAACTCTCCAATGCGTTTTTTGTTCCAGTTTATGCAAACAGTTCCGTTCTCAATGTCCTCGGCCAGTCCCTTCTCCAGTGGCTCCGAGATCATGGTTATTTTGTTCTTCTTATTCGGGGTTTCGGCAAAACATTTCAGCGAACTAGTTTCAACAACTGTTTCGCAGAAAGCCACCACGGGATCCGCCACCTTAATGTCGATCTCAGAGTACATCTTCCGCAGGTCGTGCATGACACAATCGAGGTACAGCTCGCCAGTGCCCAGAATAACATGCTCGCCAGATTCTTCTACTCGAGTCGAGAGGAGTGGATAGGATTTGTTCACCTTGCGGAGGCCATCCAACATCTTGGGAAGCTCGGATGGATTAACTGGCTCCACAGCAATCTTGATAATGCTCTGAGTGTTAAACTTCAGTGGCCGGAATATGTAGAGGTCTTCTGGAACATTAATATCCACAATGGTGGACGTTTTGACGATACACTGATCGATGCCTTCGATGAGCACCCAGTTTCCGGCGGGTACTCGATTTAACTCCACTTTGTAACGAGACTCAAATACCCACAGACGACCCACTTGCAGTATGCGGGAGTCCTCCTCATCCTGCAGTGTGTAGTTCTCTCCCAGGACACGCACCTCCTGGCCAGCGTGAAGAGTACCAGAGACAATCCTCGCCAGCACTTGGAAGAACGTACAGTCGTCGTTGGGATACATCTTGGAACTGTGCACCATCAGAGTGCCGTATTGGTTGCATGAAATCATATCCCGGTAAATGTCACCCTCCTTGGGTCCAGTGTAAATGTGGTCGACCTTACGCTTGGCATTTTCCAAGGGGGACTTAATGTGCTCCACACACATGTCCACAAAGCCGCTGCAGTCGCCCATGAAACGGTTACAGACGAGTCGCAGTAGTGGTCTTATATTCGACTTCATCTCCTCCTTGGAGACGCGCACATTCAGCTCGGCCAGAGTGTCCGACAAAGTGGTGTCCACATCGCCAACCACCTGAGCTATCAACTTATACATGGGCTCCAGAATGAACTCCACAAAGCTGCGCTGTGCCGAATTGTGCGGCTGCTTCTTCGAAAACTTACGCCTATTAAAATTATAAAAACGCCTGTGATTAGTAAATGCTTTGCGTAATTAAGCCCCACTTACGTTTTGCTGTTGAAGTACATGTCGCCCCAGAGACGCTTGGCGAAGTCCAGGTAAGCCACTCCCTCATAAGTGTCTGCATACAGCTTGGCAAAGGATTTCAGAGTGAAACAAAAGCCGTACAACGAACTAGCGAAACAAACGTTGCCCAGGATCGGCGAAACTAAGAGATTGTCGTCTGCGGCGCCATATGTGCTTTAGGAATATTATAAATTAGTAAGGTAAAAAAGCGTTGAGTATAAAGCACTTTATCACCTCAGCAGCCCATTGACTTCCTCCACAATATGTTTCAGCTTGAAGTAGGCGTCCTGGGGCGGTAATTTTAGCTCCAGGATGAGGCGATCAATCTGCGAGTCAGAGAAAACAATTAGAAAGTTTAATGGCACCTTAGGGCTGAACCCCTTACCTTGTTTATGCAAACGGTGATAGCCTGGCGCTCTTGCACCGCGTGTTTGAGCAGCCGCTCGGTGTTGAGCATGACGCCCTCGGCGGCATCGATGAACAGTACCACACCATCGCTCATTCGCATGGCGGCGGTGGCCTCGTCCGAGAAGTTCACATGCCCCGGGGTGTCGAAGATGTTCAGCAAGTAGCTCTTCTGCTTGACATCCTGCAGGACAAGTGTCACCGGCGTGGCCTTGATGCTGCAGCCGCGCTCCTGTTCCGTAAACAGGGTGTCCGTGTAGCGCAGCTGGCGCTCCTCCATGGTCTCAAACTGTGGATGCGTCTGCCGGATGAGGCAGTCAACGAAGGTGGTCTTGCCGTGGTGCAGGTGGCCAACTAAAGCCACGTTGCGGATTAGCGGTGGAGTGTCCATGAGATCGGCCATGAACTCCATGTCGTAGGTGGTCTCCTGCATGTCCTGCTCCTTGATCTGGAACTTGAGCTTTTTTACCGGCTCTATGAGCGGCTTGTCCAGCGGCTGGGCATCCTCCTCCTGGACAATGGTTTCCACATCCGGACCATAGACCTCAACTGCTGAAGGATAGTAGCGTTTATCCTCGTGTAGCACCACGGCGGTCACCTCCTTGTCCTCGTCCTCCTGCGGCTCCACCTCGTCCTCGTCCATGGCGTCCTTTACATGAATAATACTGGATTAATGATCAGTTTTGTAGGTTTTTTGCCAGCGTATACCTCTGGATCATCCTGCACATCGGGTTGCCCGTAAATACTCTGGTCATCATCCTCGTCGCTGTCTAGATCGGGGCCAATATAGTTGCCAAACTCATCGTACAAATCGGAATCCATGGTTTTTCTACAAAATATATATTTTTTAATACTTTCATTCAAGATTTGCCGGCGGCGTCTCAAAAAAATTGAAAACATTCGCGATGTCGCCAAACTTATACTAACGCTGTTTTTATTATATTCAGGTACTTACCTAAGATTACAGCACCTGCTGAGTGCTAATTTCTTCTTTAAAATTAAAGAAAACTGCCAATAAATAATTAATTCACAATTTTCACAAAAAAACGCGGATTGCAAGCACGCTGTTCTTCTTCTTTGCCGAAAAACAATCAGCTGTTAAAAGACCGGCATTACCTACGGCATTGCCAACGCAAATATGGTAGCCGCTTGCAGCCCTGGCGGCAAAATTTGAATTTTCCAGTTCATTAAGGCTAATTAAGGTTTTTGCCAGCAAGTAGGTAGCTGAAAAAGGAGTAAAAACGTAGGTAGACCTTTCCGTTTATATTGCACTGCAGTCGCCAGAGGTAATTAGTCGAAAGTGTCACCCGCAGGCATCAGCATCATTATGATGAAGTTCGGTTTGCTTCTTTTGATGGCGCATTTTGTGGCCTCAAGCCGAAATCTAAACGATATTCTCGGTCGCGAGCAGTGGATTAGCATAGCCAAGGAGTACATCAAGAACCACAAGCCCTATAAAGCTAAAATCTACGAGCCCTACAGGCCGCGCATCGTAAATTATACCAACCCATTCGACGGCGATTTTTGGGAGACAACCACGCCGGCAACAAATGCGGAATCTACCACCAATCCGCAAGAGACTACTGCTTACTTCACTGGGGAAGCATCTACTACAACCGAGGAAAATTCCACTGAGGAAACTACCACAACTTCGCCAGTGGACCATTCAACCACCGAATCCAGCTATTCAACTTCAGAGGCGCCCGACGCAACCACAGATACTTGGTATTCCACGACAACAGCTTCGCCGGGAGAAGCTATAGATTCACCTGAATCAGAAGCCTTATATTCCACAACAACATCGAGTCCAGAAGTTCCAGATACAACTACAGACACCAGTCCAAGCAGCACAGTTTATGCGGAATCAACGACAAGCAATGCAGATTATTCCACAGGATGGCTAGAAACTACTACAGAAACCATTGCAAGTTCTTCAGCATTGCCGGAATCAAGGACTACTTCAAGTCCGGAATTTTCGGGGACAGAACTATTGACCACTACCACAGACATAGGAATCAATCCAAGCACTACAGAGCTGCCGGAATCAACTACTGCAGAAGCGATTACCACTTCTACCGGATGGCCGGAATCAACGACAGAATCTGCTGGCACTACCACAGAATCCAACGAATCCACGTTCGCATTGTCCTTAGATCAGACTACAACTGAAATTGCAGAAGCTTCAACAGAAGGATTATTTTCAACTACAGAAACCCCGGATTCAACTACATTCTTGCTGGAAATCATTGCCACGACTCCGGGCGTGGAAACTACTACATCGTATCTGAAAACAGTGATTGACAGCACTGCGGAGCAAAGTTCTACATCATCAACACAATTTGGATTCAATTTAACGACATCGGAAATGGTGCAAACTCAAATGGAAACCACAACACCGAGGCAATTGAGTTTCGTCGGAGATTCTGTTCGCCAAAGACGGAGAAAATATAAGTATACTTCAGACACAGACCCCGAACTTTACTGGCACTGAAAATGATTGCAACAAATAAAACTATAGAATTTGAATTTAAATAAAGGCGGTTGTCTTATTTTGTTATCGTACAATAATTGGCAGCGCGACTTAGGTTATTTTAAATTGGGGAACGGGGTCACACTGGCTAAAGGCAAAACACATTTTTGTTTAATTTTTGAAGAAGTGTGCCAATTTTTAAAAATTTATAGCGTTAATATGAGTTTGGCCAGCATTAAACAGAAAGAAGTTAAGGGCAAAAAGAAAGTGCTGCCCAAACTGCGCAATATCCTGGCCAATCCTTACAAACAGCACAGGTAAGGCGGACAGAAATCAAGAAAACCCCAATCAACAGGTTTTTTATTTTACATTTTAGTCCTCTTTTGTCGGAGGAGGAAGTGCAGCAGTTTCGGCAGATACTGCAAAATGCAGTTAAAAACAGCGGCGGAGAGACCAAGTCATTTGCCACTCGATTTGGCATACATCTCGGCCTGGAGAGCTCCCTGCGCGCCATAAACTCCCGGCGTTTCTCCTGCCTATTGGTTTCCCTGAGCCTGCGACCAGCTCACCTCGTCCGTTTAATGGCCACTAGTGCATCCGTCAAGATGCCCACGGCTCCCATTTACGCACAGCCCAAGCTGGAGGAGCTTACCCATGAAATCTTTGGAGTAAGAGCGCTTTCCTTGGCCTTGCCTCTAGATTTAAAATCAATAAGCGCGGACTTGGAACAGTGGATTACTGCCCGAAAGAGGACACCTAAGCCTGCCAAGCAGATAGCCCCAAAAACGCACAAGAAATCCAAGAGGAAACCCGAAATAATCCAACCAAGTGAAGATGAAAAAAAGCCGCCGCTACCAGTGGCTGAAAAGAAGGATTGGGGTGACGATTTCATATCCTGCTTTTCGGACAAACCCTCTGTAAAGCTGGACCGCGTGGATGTCCAGGTGGAGACCCAAAAACTGGGCCATGCCCTCAGTAACCTGGCTATGAAAGCCCAAAGCAAAAAGCCGAAAGTAGAAGTCAAATGTAACCCAGTCAAAGAGGAGAAAACGCCCAGCGTAGAGCCCCTGGAGTTAGAGCCAGATGAAGACGACTTTCTGCCCGGAGATTTGCAGAACTATCGCCATCTTACTATCCACCAAGTACGTCCAAATCCCGACAAGAAACCCAAAAAGAAGCGCAACAAAAAGGCCACCAAGTCCTAGAGATGGTTGGCAACGCAACCGCATCAGCTGTAGTTTTTAGGTTATGTTATTCAGTTATTTATCGTAATTGGTAAGGCGGCGCACACAAAATGCTCCGGAGTTTTCGTCAAATAGCACGACTAGGAAGATCCCTAAAGACGCCAATTGCAACCAGAAGTCTGCCCAAACTCGCCACCACCTTAGGACAGCAGGCTCCCTTGCACACCAGTGTTTCCGCGTGGAAGTACGACAAGAAATCCTCGCGAGCATCGGATGACTTGGACAGCGACGACGAGGATGATGAGGATTTCAAAGATGAACGGGACTCCAAGGTGGTCAAGACCAAGGTGAACTCACTGCGCGCGGATCTTCTCCTGAAAGCTGGTCTGGGCATGGCGAGAAAGTAAGAAACAGCGGCAGAGATCCTTAAAGTGCCTCCCATAACCAAGATGTTTCACATCCCACAGCAAAGTAGAACTGAATTTCTACGAGAGCAAGATACGCGTCAATGGGAAAAAACTGCCCAAAAAGAGCGCCCAGGTAAGGAGTATAATGCATTTAGTCAAATTCAAACTTATAACTTACCATTGGCAGCTGGAAGTCGGCGACGATATTGACGTAATCCGGGGCTTCAGTCAATCGAATCCTTCTCACCTGGTCGTGGCCCGCGTCTCCATCCTCTCCGCCAGCGAACGCGAGGAAGGACTCAGCGTCCACCTGAGGCGCTACAAATCCCTGCTGGTCGAGAACTACCGGGCACCCAACGCCTTCAAATCCTCGGAACACGTTGCTCATTAAAACCAATTAGAAATAAAGAGTGCTGCAAAGCTTTACTATTAAGCGTAAATGGATGTATTCGAGTGAGTTTAAGTAAGGAGCAAACCTGCAAAACATTGCAATACATCTTCAAGATAACACAACTTTTAAAACTATACCGTCAAACCGGATTATTTTCAATGATTTATTTTTTAATGTAGTGCAACACCTAGAGTATTTTACACCGTTTTGTTGATGTGTCCTCTGGTTACCAGATCTGACAACTCTCAGCCTTTGGATGCATGGGACTGCCCACGGGACACTTGTAGACCTCAGCAAAGTCGTCGTTGTTGGAAACCGCTCCTAGCACCCGGTACTTATCGATGGTGTGTGCGTCAGTGAGCTCCTCCCAGTAGTGCTCCGGCTGGTACTCGGCGCACCACAGCTGCGCGAATCCCACGAAGAAGAGCTGCTCTGGCGAGAGATCAAGGCCGGGAATCTGGTCGTTCTTGGGGGCATACGTTTCGTTGTCCTCCCCACTCCTTTGGAGGTGCTTCATGTGGCTACGATAGGCAGCGAGTGCACTCCTCAACCCACCGGCGTCCGCTATGTTCTCGTCCATCGTTTCGTTGCCGCGAATCGTCTGGTTAATTTCCGGTATCATGTATTGATTGAAGTGATCCACATAGCACTGCGCACGTTCCTGGAACACCGCCTTCGACTTTCTGGACCACCAGTCGCGTATCTCACCTGTGCTGTCGAAATTGGAGCCTCCCGTATCGAAGCCATGGGTCAGCTCGTGACCTAACAGGTAACCAATAGTGCCAAACTTCAAGGAGTCGGGCCAAGAGCGGTGGTACGCAGGCGGATGCAAGATACCCGCCATCGCGTAGACCGTGTTATCCAGGTTGTAGTAGAAGGCGTTCACCTGCATCCCGATCAGCAGTCTCAACGGCTTCGTGTCCTTGGGCAGGCTCTCCGCGTGGAGGCCACTGTAGTGTTGAAGATACGTGCCCAATACTCGCAGATTGATCAAACTCTGGGCATAGTTCCCTTCCACAATGGTCAAATTATTGATCTGGCGGATCAGAATGTCAGATAGCTCTTCGTTTTTGTAGTTGCCAATCACTGGCGTTATGACGGACTCCTTGGTCAGAGCCTCTGCCCGCGTTTCCGTGTCCAGCCACTTCACATTCTCGAGGATGTGTCGCTGGGTCTTTCGCATCTCCATCACTATGTCCGAGATCTCGGAGTGTTTCTCGTCGGTGAAGTGCTCCTGCGAAGCAAGCGGAACCGCATTAGTCACGTAAGTTAGTTGATATCAATTGAAAAGCCCCTTTTTCACGCATATTCAACTCACCGCCATGTAGAGCCTGTTGAAGAGATGTGCCAGCGTAAACTGGAGGATCATCACACAGTTATCCTTGTGGTCCTTGGGATGCTTGGGCTCCTTCAGCTTGTCGTCCATTCGGTAGAGGAGCAGCATGGCGAGATAGTTGGCCACCGCCTCCGTATGCTTGGCGCACACCTTATCAAGCTCCACATAGTAAAAGTCGCAGAATTCTTCAACAGACGTGCCATTGTAGAAGTCTATACCATTCCAGGCTATCTCATAGTAGCTTCTCCATTGGTCAAATTGTGGCACCTCATTAATCTTACTGAGCTCATCGCACTTATCCGTATCGCCTTTAAACTTATCCTCAATACTAAGCGCCTCTCTCCAAAATGCAAAGACGCCATCGATGACGGCGGAGATTTCATCTTCTGTGAGATTGTAGGCCTTCAGATACCCGCGCATTCGATTCTCGTTCAGCTTGTAGGCCCGCGAGCTCGTATTGGCAACGTGGGCGGTGCGGACGATGTGGTCGAAGCCCAGCTCCGGAAGTTTGAAGTACGGATTGAAGGGATGCTGCGGAAGAATATCTTGCGAGATCAGACCACGGGCGCCGTAGTTGGTGAGATGGGCGCTCATGTTGAACCAACTGAAGCTGGAGGCGTTCCAAGCGTCTCTGTCGACGGCGGGGAACCCACCAAACGACCTGATAAGCGATAGATAAGCGGGATCGGCAGCTGCTTGCGGAAATAACTCGGCCGCCAAGCAGGCATTGTAGAAGCGTTGTGCAACGAGCAGCTCGGAGGACACGTTCAGTGCCTCCGCCAATTGTGTCCTGGCCAGCAGCTGCTCCGTCACTTCCGTCAGCCTGTAGTTGATGTCCATGAGATTGTTCCGCCTATGGGTGGATTGCCGCGGAGGTTTCACGTTCTTCCAGTTGCCGCACGCATACTCATAGAAGTCATCGCACGGATCGACGCTTAAGTTCATGTAGGACTTCATCATCGCGCCATGGGTTCGAAGGTAATCGGCCGTCTCATCTGTAATCGCGTTTTCATTCGACTCATCCCCAATACTCCTGGCCTCGCCGTAGTCCGTCAGAGCCACGCAGATCACGATGCAAGCCAGCTGCGTAAGAAAGGACAGTCGAAAGTATCTTGAGATTGAGAACATATTGGCCCGGTTCGCAGGGCACACACGCAGTTTGTATAACACAATCAAGTAGTGCGGCTAACGCTCGATCGACCCGAATTATTTGAAAAAACCCAACGAGCTCGACTGGCTAATCCGGAACGCGATTGAGAACTAAACAAGCAGCGGTATCTCTCCGATTCCAACAGCGTGTGCTTTTTCGCAACCATTTCGATCCAAAGCACTGGACAACAGAGATTATAACGAAGGCATCACTATGACGTCGTTAAACACACTTTCACCATCTATAGCGCGCATTCTAAGCCACTGTTTTGAATAATATTAAGAACTCATAAACAGCTGAACTGTTAATCCAGGCATATTAGCATTTAAATAAGCGCCTTCGAGGAATAGTGATGATTTTGCTGCACTGTGTAGCCAGTGCTCTTGCCAAGACTTGACCTATGCCACACGCTGGTGGTGATAAGGAAATGTAAGTTCTGGGAGATTCATTGATCGCCGCCTCATTCATTCAGATTAAAAGCATTTCTCAGATTTTGTTTCAAAATCGTCACTTTTGTCACTTACACACTTTCTTTCCAGGTCTTGGTACAAGGAAGCTTTCATGTACAACTGCTTTTTGTATACAATTTTGTATAAAATTTAAGTATAAACCAATTCTTAATATTTACTTTTAAATACTTCTATTGTGTATTTATAATTCCATTAATAATTACTATTGATAAATTCTTCCAAAATGTTTGGGTAAAATGTACAAATAAAGCTCGCAGCGTTCCTTATAACATTTCGGAGTTTGCTCCACACAATGAATATTAATGCAACTTAAACAGGTTAGCATTGAATTCAGTTTAAATGGCAGCATTTTGCCGCCCAAACGTCGATAAGAAATACAATCGATAGACAATCCCAGCGCTCGCAGTGTGGCCAGGCATACGCCAAGCATATTGTTGTTGTGCCTGTTAGCGGCGACGGTCACATCAGGACGCAGTGTCATTTTATAAAAATGTCGTTTTCCGCCATCGGCGATTGCCAATTAGTTTCACAAATATACCAAGTAAGAAGCACTGAACGGCGCGATCCGGCATGTCCTAAAGCCCTTCCCATTGCAGTACAAGAGGCACCGCGTCGTGTGCAGCGTCAAAGTTCTGCCGACACCTGTGACCCATTTTGAGCGGGAACGGAAGAATGTTTTCCATTGGATGACGGCGGATCGCTGGTGCAGGATTGAAAGTGGACTGTGGCGCCTGTTTGAGAACCTCAAGCAGTGGCAGGATGCCTTCAAGCTGAACACCGAGCTCATAATCGATCACATCAACGTGCGCGTCCAGGCCACCGATGAGCCGAATCCTGCAACGCTTGCACTCCTGGCCGGTGCGGAGTCCACCAGCAGGGATCTCTTCCTCGACATTCAGCTGCAGTACATCACACACGAGGACACCACCATTGTGGGCGTCATACCCGCCAAGCGCAAACTTGCCACGGAGGCAGAAACCAATGGCACCAGCCGGCCAGCAAAATCGGGATTGAAGCCTAAAGCTGGGTAGGGAACATTTTAGTTATTCCCCTAAGTAGCACAAGAAACCATTTATTTGCTTATAGACGCAGATTGTGTGCTTATTATTAATGCCAATAGCTTCAAGCCACCTTTGCACTTTAACTTTTTATGCACAAACGTTGAATGCGCATTTAAATGTATTCTCCCTTAGAACACAATCAAAGCCCAGGCACATAGACGCCGACAACGAGGACGACAAGAGTTCCACGTCGGGCAGCCAACCAGCCAAGATCAAACGCGAGCGAAGGTCCATTTCCGAGGTTGGCGGAAAGGATAAGATTTCCAGCAGCTCCAGTTCCTCCCAGCAGAGCAGCCGCATGAAGCGATCGCACAGCCCAGTGCAGCGGTGAGTAAAGATGCACGGATGTGAGAGGAGTAAGAGCGTATTGGTGTATTCGCAGGAATTCCAGAGCGAACTCGGTTGAGCCCAAGCCTGCACGCCGCTCCGGCCGATCACCCATACGCCCGAGTCGCTTTAAAAACTTTGTAGTAGGGTACGCCTCAGAAACTGTGCTGTAATGACCAGCTCTAATCATTTCCCTGGATGCACTTTCAGCGAGACAAGGGGCAGCAAGAGCAAAGGACCCAAGCTGAAGGCGGAAAAGGGTTTCCCACTGCCTGCCAAGGGTTTCAAGGTGGAGCAGATGGACGGGGCGCGGTTCGATGCACTGCAGCGGCTGGACAGCATGCTGGACATGCCCAAGCCGCGCGAAGTTAAGATTTTGTAAGTGCTTCCGACTAGATGAAAATAAAGCGTATACGAAAGTGCCTTCCAACCTACGATCTTTTGATTGTCTCAGACTCTTGGAGAAAATGGTCGAAGACGAGGTCCTGAATACGTTCGAGAACTATCGCAATGACTTCGATAAGCTGTTCAAGGAGCGCGAGTTCAAGCCGCGCACCAGTCACTACATGAACATTGCCCACATGGACATTATTGACATACTAAGTAAGGGCATTCAGCAGCAGATGCTCAAGAAACTGGGCGAGGTCTACAGCAGTCGCAGCGTAAGTTTGGGTTGTTCTGGAATCGCATATGTCCTAACCCTTCCCGATTATCAGAACCACACGGCGCTCCTGCTGAACGGACTGCTCCCGCTGTGGATAGTGCGCCTCTTTATGGACACATACAAGCTATCGCACTCGGAGGCCGTGCAGCAGATCCGCGACCAAATGAAGTACAACACATACTTGAAGGCCCTGAACGATGAGCCGCTGAGTTCCGATCTTGACTGATCTTAGCCCTTCGTTACTATTTATATTTGATAGAAATATTGTTTAGCATCCGATTGCGGAGTATTTACATTATGCGCCATATAAAAGGGGCACCTGTTTAAATTCATTTGTCTTTATTTAGTTCGATTGGAATCCGTTCTGTACTAAGCATATTACATTGTATAAATACATAATTCATTTGCTTTCGAAAAAAGAAAACGCTTGAGCAACCGAAAGTTGAGAGTGTGCAGGCTGTAATGGAGTGCTCTCTGGGCGACTGGCGGTGATGACAACGTGAGCGAAGGACTACGAAATTACTTTACTTAGAATCTAGGGTGTAATGTTGATGGAGCGCCCAGCCACCCGGTGGCTATTTAAAACTCAGTCTGACCTCCACACTCTTATGTACAATCTATGTGGACAGTTGGTGAAGTAGATTACAGCTCGTCGTGCTGCTGCTCCTCCTCCTCCTCATCGCCGTTGGCGCCCTCCTGGCTGCCGGTGGCGGCCTCCTCGGCATCATCCTCGTCATCATCATCGAACTCCACCTGTTCATCCTGGGAGACGCCCAAGGTTTGGCGCATCATCTGCTCAATACTGTCGGCGAACTGCGAAGTCTCCTGGAGCATGTATCCCGATCGCAGGGTGGCGGTGCGGAACATCATCACAGCCATGTCCTTGGCGGTGTCATCAGCCTCGTCGGCCTCCACGCGGCGCAACAGCTCGCGCATCAGCGGATGCCTGGGGTTGATCTCGAGCGTCTTCTTCTGGTTGAGGTAGTAGGTGCGCTGAGGATCGTCGGACTTCTGGTGGGCGTTGGACATGGCCAGACGCTCCATGTTGCCGGTCCAGCCGAAGACGCCGGCCACCAAGGCGCATGGCGAGTTGCTGAGACGCTCGGAAACCTGGGCCTTGGAGATCTGATCCTTGAGTGCCACATCGTTCAGCCACTTGACCAGCGGCTCGAAGGTGCTCTTCAGCGACTCGAAGTTCTTCTTGCTCTTCTCGGACTCGTTGAGCTGGAATCCCTCCTTGGCCACGTTCTGGAACTTCTTGCCATCGAACTCGGGCAGGGCGGAGATGCAGTACTCGTCGACGGCCTCCACCAGATACAGCACCTCGTATCCCTTGCTCAGCAGACGCTCCACGAAGGGCGACTTCTCGACCTCAGCGCGATTGGCACCAGCGATGTAGTAGATGTGCTCCTGCTTGGCCTTCATGCGCTCCTTGTACTCGGCCAACGAGGTGACGCCCTTGCCGTTGGAGGTCTGGAAGCGGAGCAGCTTGGCGAGACGCGATCGGTTGCTGGGATCCTCCATCACGCCCAGTTTGATGCTGCAATGAGTAATTTAGGTGATGATTAGCAATAAAAATCAAATAATTAAATGTAATAGAAAACTAATTTAACTAAAGTATATACACGTCACCATTGGCAATATTATATTACGTGGGTTTCCTTATCTTATCTGCATAAAATTCTTTAAAGCAACAAACCGAATATAATAAAAGGCTGGCAAAAAAGAATACACGTCACCGTGGTCAATATTAAAATGGATTCTGCGGAAATTCTTATCAGCAGGATCCATAAATAACTCCCAGTTTAAGTATGAAAAATCGTTCAGCGAGCAATACTTACTTGGTGGAGAACTCCTTCCAGAACTTCTCGTACGCCTCCTTGTCGATCTTCTTCAGCATGTCCAGAACCTTGCGGACCAGCTTCTTCTTGATCACCTTGATGAGCTTGTGTTGCTGCAGAGTTTCGCGGGAAACGTTGAGGGGCAGGTCATCGGAGTCGACGACACCGCGGATGAAGCTCAGGTAGTTGGGCATCATGTCGTTGAACTCATCGGTGATGAAAACACGGCGCACATACAGCTTGATGTTGTCGGACTTGGTTCCGTAGCGGTTGAAGGACTCGGATGGCTGTACCTTGGGCACGTAGAGCAAACTCTTGAAGGTCACCTCACCCTCGGCGATGAAGTGCGTCTGGGTAAGGGGCTCGCTGGAGTCCTTGGTCAGACTCTTGTAGAAGCTAGTGTACTCATCCTCGTTAACTTCGGCGGGCTTGCGGGTCCAGATGGGCTTGCTGTCGTTGATCAGGGTCCAGTCCCAGGTGGTCTTCGAGACCTTCTTGGTCTTTGGCTTCTCGTCGTCGGCCTCCTCGACCTTGGCGTCCTCATCCTCCACGTCATCCTCGCTCTTCTCGGGCTTGGCTTCCTCCTCTACGGGCACCTCCTCCTCGACAGTCTTGCTGGACCACATGCGGATGGGGAAGTTGATGAACTGCGAGTACTTGCGGATGAGCTCGCGAACGGTTTCCTCCTCGAGGAAGTCCTGGGCTTCTTCCTTCAGGTACAGCGAGATCACGGATCCTCGCTTCAGAGTATCGCCACGGGGATCCTCGATGATGCTGAAGCTGTTGGCGTCAGACTCCCAAATGTACTGCTTGTCATCGTTGTGCTTGGTGGTCACCACCACAC